TTGTCCAGGTCTTAGACAAATAGCTAGTAATTGGAAAGACCCTGGCCTGAATCAGACGCACCTTAGTCCTCAAACTGACATCACTACTTCTCAATAATTTGGAAAGATTGCTAATTTCAGATTTCCCCATTGCAATGTTGTTGTTGATTTCCTTTGAGTTGAGCACGACTCATAGCAACCCTATGAACAAAAGGCCTGAAGTCCCTCTACAACTATTGACATTTATCAAAGTCCATAGAGTTCCCAGAGGCATGCATCTCCTTATTTCCTGACTGCGCATACCAAGGTTGTTAATTGTGGATCCAAGCAAGATGTATTTGGTGATAGAAATGAGTCTGGAAATATAATGATTGAATTTTATATTTACAATGATTTATTCATTGAAAATACTTTTTCTAAAAGACACAAAAGACCATTTTACCTGTGGATTTCACCCAGTGGGCTGCTTAGGAATCAGATTGACTACACTTGTGTAAGAAATCGTTGGAGAAGCTCGATATTAGCAGTCAAAACTAGGTCAAGGGCAGACTGTGGGTCACATCATCAATTACTCATATGCAAGTTCAAATTGAGGCCAAAGAAAATTAAAATAAGTCCAGAGGAACCAAGATATGATCTTGAATCAATTCCATCAGAATTTCATGATTATCTTAAGAATAGGTTTGAGGCATTGGATACCGTTGAACACCAATGAGTTGTGGGATGATACCAAAGATATCATCAATGAAGAAAACAAAAGGCCATTAAAAAAACAGAAGAGAAAGAAAAAACTGAAATGAATGTCAGAAGAGACTCTAAAGATTGCACCAGAACGTTGAGAAGCCAAATCTAGAGGAAAACATGTTGAAATGAAAGAGCTGAACAGATGGTTTCAAAGGGCAGCTGGGGAGGACAAAGCAATTACATCACAATGGAATTTGCAGAGAGCTGGAATTGGATAATAAGAGGGAAAAACTTGTTCTGCATTTCTCAAACAGAAAGAACTAAAATATAAATTTAGGCCTTGTGTTGCAATGTTGAAAGATGCTATGGGCAATGTATTGAATGACCCAGAAAGCATAAAAAGAAGATGGAGGTGAAATAATAGAATGTGGAAATTATTGAACTATTTCATGCAGACAAACCCTTGCTGAAGAATATTTTTTAAAAATACTATAACAGTTACTACATTGACAAAGAACTTCCAGAAATACAAGCAGGGTTTAGAAGAGGCTGTCTTTCCACCTTTCCATGCATGGTATCCTTCTCCAAGGACTGGTCCCTCCTGGCCATGTGCCCAAAGTATGTGAGACAGAACTTTAAAATTCTTGCCTCCAAGGAGCACCTTGGTTTCATCCACTCCAAAGCAGGCCTGTTTATTCTCCTGGAAGCCTACGGTATGTTCAACACTCTTCTCCAGCACCACAACCCAAAGGCATAGATCTTTCTTCTATCATCCTTAGTTATTGTCCAGCTCTCTGATGCATAGCTAGTGACTGCAAAGACCATGGCCTAGATCAAGCACACCTTAGTCTCCAGACTGACCTCATCGCTCTTCAGAACTCTAGAGAGGTCCCTTTTTATCTTTTTATTTCCTGATGGCAGGTGCCAAAAGTGTTGATTGTGGAACCAAGCAAGCTGAAGTTGTTAACAATCTCAATTTATTCTCCATCTATCATGAAGCTGCCAATTGGCCCAGTGCTGAGAATCTTTGTTTTCTTAATGTTGAGTTTCAATCCATATTGAAAATTACATTCCTTGACCTTCTACAGAAAATGCCTCATGTCTTCCTCAGTTTTATCTAGCAAGGTTGTGTTATCTGCATAACAGGTTGTTGATGAGTCGTCTTCCAGTTTTAATGCCACATTTCTTCTCATAAAGGCCAGCATCCTGATAGATCTATTCTGCATATAGACTGAAAAGATATGAAGATATGTGCATCCCTGATACATACCTTTCCTGATCTTGAACCAAGCAGTGTATCCCTACCTGACTACTGTTTCCTGGTTCAAGTATAGGTTTTGCTTGATCACAATTAAGTGTTCCGAGATTCCTATTCTTCTCAATGTTAGCCAAAATTTGTTGTGATATCCACAGTCAAATTCATTTGCATAGCCAATGAAACACAGATTCCACTGGTACTCTCTGCTTTCAGTCAAGATCCATCTAATATTGGCTATGATGTCCCTATTGTCATGGCTTCTTCTAAACCAAGTTTATATTTTTGGCAGTTCTCTGCTGATGTACTGTTCCAGTCAGTTTTGAATAATCTTTATCAGGATCTTCCCTGTGTGTGATATTAGTGAAAATGTCCACATTTTGTTAGGTCACCTTTTTTGGAATGGAAATAAATATGTATCTCTTTAAGTCAGTTGGCCAGGTAGTTGTCCTTCAGATTTCTTGGCATAACCTGATGAGCGTGTCCAGGACAGCATCTGTTTGCTGAAATATATCATTTGGTATTCCATCAATTCTTTGGGCCTTGGTTTTTCCAGGCTTCAGAGCAACTTGAACTTCCTCCTTCATTGCCATTGTCATCATATGTTGGTTTATTAAATTCTTCTGTGTCAGCCAATTATTTTTCATATAGTGACTCTGTGTACTTCTTCCATTTTCTTTTGATTCTTCCTGGATCATTCAACATTGTGCCCTCAGCATCCTTAAGTATTGCAACTTGAAGCTTAAACTTGTTCAGTTTCTTCAGCTTAAGAAATGCCGAGGAAGTTCATAATTTTTTTTTTTTATTTTCGGACTCCAGCTCGTTGCACGTTTCATTGTAATACTTTGCTTTGTCTCATTGAGCCGGCCTTTGAAATCTTCTGTTCAACTCCTTAACTTCTTAATTTCTTCCCTATGCTTTGGCTTCTTGGTGCTCTAGTGCAATATCCAGTCTCTCCTGATATCTATCTTGGTCATTTTCCTCTCTTCTGGATGATATTCTTGATATCCTCCACAGAACATCTGAACTTCACTCATTTGTATTCAGGCTTGTTCCTAAGATGGTCTTTAAATTATGGTGGGATAGACTCCATATCAAGCTTTGGTTCTTGTGGATTTGATTTGATATTTTTTTAGCTTTAATTTGAACTTGTATATGAGTAGCTGATGGTCTGTTCTACAATCAGCACCTGGCCTAGTTTTCACAGCAGATATTGAGCTTCTCCAGCAATTTTTTTTCCCAAAGATGTAGTCATTCTGCTTCCTGTGTAGACCATCAAGTGAAGTCCATGTGTATTGTCACCATTCATGTGTCTTATAAAAGGTATTTGCAATGAATAGGTCATTGAATATACAGAATTCTATCATTCTGTCTCCAACCTCATTTCTGTCACCAAGTCCATACTTTCTTACTATTGATCCTTCTTCCCTTTTCTCAACTTTTGCATTTCAGTCATCCAGTATTATCAAAGTATCATGGTTGCATGTTAGATCAATCTCCTATTGCAAAAGTTAGTAGAAATTATCTCTTTCCTCCATTTTTGTCCATTGTTGCTGGTGCAGGCATTTGAGTAACGGGTAGGAGCAGGTTTCCCTTTTATGTGTATGTATATTATCCTGTCACTCACAACATTGTGTTTCAAGATGGATCTAGAAACAGGTTGGTTTTTTTAAAAAAACTATTAATGTGACCCCATTTTTACTCACCATTTCATTTCCAGCATAGTAGACCTTATGATTGATTATCTGATTCAAAATGACCCATGCCAACACATTTAATTTCACCAATGCCTAGTATGCTGCTATTTTGTGCTCCATTTCTTTCTTATCAATCTCTGATTTTGACGTTTTTAATGATTTTGTTGTGCAACATCCACAAGCAACATCCTTGGTATCAACAGTCAGGATAGCAAAAGATATTTTGCATCCAGAAAATCTGCTGTCAAGAACCTCTCGAGAGTGCTAAAGACCAACGCTCTCAGTTAAAGATTAATGTGTGTCTTATCCAAGTCATGTTCTTCTCAATTCCTTGCTAAACATCTGAGAGCCATACAGTGAGTGAGGATGACAGAAGAAGAATTGATACCTTTGAGCTGTGGTGCTGGAAAAGAGTATTGAGCATACCAACAGCTGCCAAGAGAATAAGCAGGTCTGTCATGGAGAGGGTGATACTAGGTTGCTCCTTGGAGGCAAGGATGGTGAAACTTCATCTCACATACTTTGATCATGTTGTTGGGAGGGGCTAATCCCCGGAGAACAACATCATGAATGAAAGGGTAGAAAGTCAATGCAAGAGAGAAAGACTCTGGATGAGATGAGCTGACATAGTGACTGTGCCAATGAGTTCTGGTGTGTAGGAGGTGGTAAGATTGGCTCAGGATAGGAAAAAGCTCAGAGCTATTGTTCATAGAGTCACTATGAACCATAGACGATATAATGGTCCATAAGGACAACAACAATGGCCACAAATAATTTCACATTTTGCTAGTAAGGAGCAATATATAATGGAATACAATGTATCTGTATACTTACTAATTCCATTTGAATCTGGAACACGAATAAGACTAGAACTACTTCAGTTATTTCATGCACCTAAGGTTCAGAAATGTGCCTTCCCAATTAAGCTAGACATATGAGATGGATTGACTTAGTGACTGAAGTAATGGGGGTATATGTGTTGAAAATGCTGGAGTTAGTTCAGTTGTACATAGGGTCACTATGAGTCACAGGCAACTTGACGGTACATAAGAAAAACAACAACAGTATCTCTTGAAATATTTTTAATTTCTTTAAAATTAATTTTTATATTCTTTGTCTCCTATTATAAGATTACTCTGGAACTAACAAAACATGCTAATAAATTATTCTTTCTGATTTCCCATTAAAGGGGCACACAAAATCTGAATATCTACTCTCCATGAAACTGCTCTAAACAAATGTCACAAAACACTTGTTCCATGACAAAAACAATTTAGTGTTTAGTGTTGAAATATAAAAATGAAAACAAAGAAAAGAATCCAAATGTGACACTCCTTTTTACAACATGATTTATGCAGCTCAATTGTGTCTTTTGGTATACCTACCTGTTGTTGGTCCTTATCGTTAGCTTTAATAGCTAGTATCAAGCTTCTAACAAATTTCTGAAGTTTAAAGTACTTTTGCTTTTGGATTTCTAGCTCATTTTCAATGAATCTTACTTCTTCATTCTGAAGGAGAAAACAACAAACAAAACAATTACTACATGAAAACCTAAGACTACATAAGTTTGATGCACAAAACTTCTAAACAGCAATAAAATTAGAAGAATAATAAAGAAAAGAAATTTTTAGAGGAATTCATATCACCAAAAAAAATCATCTAGATATTCAAAGGCTGTACTTATTGCAAATAACCAGCATAAAAGAATTTGCAGGATCATTAAAAACCAAGAAATAGTTCCTTTCTGTATCAGCAGTTGCCTTCTGTATCAATCTAATTAGTCCATGGATTAGGATTAAAATTAGACTGAGTCAAATTAACCAAAACTAAAGAGCAATGGATTATTTACTAATGCTGAATGTACCGTTCACAAAACAAAGTACTGAGAGCTGAAAACGCTACTGTTTTATACTGAAATTATTATCAGACTCTCTGAAACAGTTTGCGTTCCTCCTACCTATTAAGTTGTTATGTTGAATCAGAACCAACTCATAACTGACCCTCCAGTGGGTTTTATGAGGAAGTAAATCTCATGGAAAGAGAATGTCCATCTTTCTCCCATGAAGCACCTGGTGGATTTGAAACAAGTGCCTTTGGGTTGGCAGAGCAGTTTCTTATTAATAGGCCACCAGAACTCCCTTTCTGTTAATTCAGAAAAGATCTCCAAATCTATCTGTAATTTGAGACACAGACTGCTCACCGGTTTTGTTACTTCTGTAGAGAAAAAAAGTAAACTAGGATTTAGGGGTGATCTACTGGCAAGTATAATGTAACTAATTGTGCAAATTAGGAGAGATAGATTAATCCTTCTGTGCCTTTGGTGTCTCATCAGTAAATGGAGATAATATTAGTATTACTGGCAGGATTTACTTTGAGGGTTATAAGGCTTAAAGAAGAGAAAAGATAGTATGATCTTGCTGTTTGTGTCATTAAGTAAGAAACGACCCATATCTGATATTCCAGTGGGTTTTTAGAGGCAGTAATTCACAATGGGGTAGATTGCCCATCCTTCTCTCACAGAGCAATTGGTGGACTCAAACTGCATGCCTCTGAGATTGTAGCTCAGCTTCTTACCACTAGGCCACCAGAGCTGGAAGCTAAAGACAGTGTTGTTGTTGTTTTATACCATCGGATCTGAACTGGCCCTGAGCTGATCTTCCGTTGGTTTTCAGAGGCTGTTTAATTGCGTGGGATAAGACTGCTCATCTTTCTCCTATGGAGCAGCTAGTAAATTCAAACCTAACGCCTTTGGGATTGTGGTGCAGATTCTTGCCACTAGGCCACCAGAGTTCCCTGAAGATAGTATGTAGTTGTTATCATTGCTGTTATTGTTGTGTGTCATAGAGTAGGAATTGACCCATAGTTGACCCTCTGGCAGGTTTTCAGAGGCAAGTTAATCACAAGGGATGAGACTGTGAATTTCCTATTCCTCTCCTACATAGAAGCTGGTGGCCTCGAACTGTGTGCCTTTGGGATCACAGTGCAGCTTCTTGTCACTAGGCCATCAAAGCTACCTATAAAATAATAGTTTAATTGTACTATAAAACCACAGTGTGAAGCCTGTGTAAGGGCAAACACATAGATCAATGGAACAGAACTTAGAGACACACAAATATGATTTTCAATTTTTTAAGTAGAATATAAGTGAATTCAATTGGTATACCATCTATTCCTGGAGCCTTATTTTTTGCCATTTCCTTCAAAGCAGCCTGAACTTCTTCTCTCATCACCATAGGTTCTTGCTCATATGTTGTTTCATGAAATTCTTCCGTGTCTTCCAATTCCTTTCGATACAGTGACTCAGTATATTC